CAGTATGCTCTATGCACTGTATTCACTGTAAAGCCTGTGGGACGGAGTTTGCAGGTAACAGCGTTCGCCACTGAATCTACACATTTCGTAATTGTTGTTTTACAATGTGCGGTTTGACATTATCGAGTATATTGCAAAATCCAAACAAAACGTGCACACACACATGACGTGATGAAGTCTAGAAGGTTAAATTAGTGCGCGTGCGCATTTAGAGTGCATTCTTTCGCTGCATGATTCATTCTATTAAAATGCATCACAAAATTCAAGATATGGGGCCTTTATATCATTTCATATAGTTAATCAATACCACAAGAAGAGTGCCGTTTTTTCCTCCAAAAATCAGCACGATTACAAATGTGATATCGATTTTATACAACTGTTCAATAAACAAGAAGTTAATATTAAGAGACTTATGTTTTAGACACCATATTGCCTGTTTTTGCTCTATTTCACCAACAAAAATAATTCCAAACTAAGCCACAGCACTGTTTTGCATCTCTGAGCAACATGACGGTGTCTCGTTCTTGAATGAATCAACCGTTTAAATGATTCAGTTCAATCGCGATGACTCACTTATTAACAGTGACTTGCTGCCACCTACTGGCGGTTTTAATTTCACATTTAAAGTTTCAAATATTTCAATTATCATCGTTCAACGTTTTATGTTAACAATATTAAAACATTTATGCATGTGTAACTGCAGGTTAAATGCATTCATGTCCTGCATTAATCAGTGTAAATGCATCTAAATGCCATTTCAGATGCAGCTTCTGTTTCCTCTGCATTGCAAAGATAAATTTTGTTGATACTTTCATTTGCTTGATAACAGGCCAAATGTCTTATTATAATTGACTGATTAAATATAAGAATTTGACTCAAATGATAATGCACACTTTTAGAAAAAATGGCTTTAAGGTAAAAATGACCATAAAAGGCAAAAATCTATTTGAACTTATTGGAAAATATTCATTTCTGTCACTGCTTTGAACTGACCACCACACAGAATATGAAGAATATCAAAAACTTTAGGAGTCAGCTGTCCACTGTAGTCCTTAAGATATCAGCACAGTAACACTCAGTCAAATTATCATTATCGATAAAATCTCAGAAAATATAGAGATATAATTTTTTGTCAATATCGCACACCCCTAGCCATCCCTAACCTGTTCTGTGCAATTGGCAGAGCAGAATGTAATTCTTTTTATTTTCTCTCTTCTTCAGCCCATTTTTTTTCTCGCTGTAGTAAGCAGAAAGCAGTGACTGAGTGATTGACAGCTAATATAAACCAATCTAAAATCTGCATTAAAGTAAAGAATGTAAGGATAAAACCTGTACGTGCTGCGTCATCCGCCGGAACTGCTTCAGTCTATGACGGTCAGCGGAAGTGAGAGAAAAGTGTTTATTACGTTTGAAATATGGATATTTTTCTTTAAAAAACACATGGATTCGCTACAGGGGGCCTTTATTCATCCCCCAGAGCCGTCTGACCTACTTTTGATTAATTCATCCAAACTTTGACATTCCGCGTCATACAGTAAATTCCATTAAATATGACTGGATTACACGATTCCGTCCGCGTTTTCCGCATCGCGGAAATCATAGATAATATTGAGGTGTTTTGCCACTTCAGTGTAACATTAATGGATTGTGATTTATTGCAATTTAAGCAATGTCTGCTGCTGCCTTACCTTTGAGAGACAACTGATGCATGATAATTGAAGCAGCTCCAGCTAGCAAGCGCTTTCGGAGTGAGAGTGAATTCCACATTGATTGGTCGGACTCGTGACTCCCAACAAATCAGATGGGCGTGGGCGGAGATTGCTTTAGTCCACAGAGTGGCGAGTTCTGACAGGCTGCATCAGAGCCAAATAGCGCGTTTCAAAATTAAGTTATTTTATCGGCGAATCTGTTTTGAAAATGACCGATACAATAATCATAAAAATGCTTAATATCGACGCCGATAATCGGCCAGGCCGATAATCGGTCGACCCCTAATCCGTGCATTTTCCAGGATGATGGAGCACCATGTCACAAAGCAAGAGTGATAAAGAAGTGGCTCGAAGATCATTACATTGAAATTTTGGATCCGTGGCCAGGCAACTCCCCGGATCTCAATCCCATAGAGAACCTGTGGTCAGTCCTCAAAAGGCGAGTGAACAAGCAGAAGCCCACAAATTGTGATCAACTCCGAGAACTAATAAGGCAAGAATGGATCACCATCAGTCAGGATTTGACCCAGAAGCTAATATCCAGCATGCCAGAGCGAATTGCCGAGGTTATGAAGAACAAGGGTCAACACTGTAGATATTGACTCATTATATATTTTTTTGCCAATAAAAGCCTTTAAAACTTATGATATGCTTATCATTGTTTTTCAGTATACCATAAAAACATGTGGAAAAATAATCTACAAGTACTGAAGCAGCAAACTTTGCAAAACACAAAATTTATGTCACTGCCAAAACTTTTGGCCATGACTGTATATATGTTATTGTGAAGTTCAACCCACCAATATGAATACACCGTATTACCAGATGCAGAGTAAATCAACAGATTTGCACAGTTGCATAATTTTGGTAAGATTAAAGTAAAATTATTTTTATTTTTTCTACTTTTATTATTTTCTACTGTAAATTAATTAACATTGCTAGAACCACATCTGCACCTCAAAGGTATAATTTCCTTCTTATTAGTTTACCATTTGATGCATGCAAGAGTTTCTGAAACTTCAACAAGAATTTTACTTTAATATGTCTAGTCTGATCTGTAAGACTATTTTAAGAATTAATGTGTGTGTTTGTACTCTAGAGTTTACACTTCACCAACAGGTGCGTCACCTCACAGAGAGTGTGCTTTGTTAAAGGGGTCATGACATGTTGACATGTATTATAGTATGTTCCTTGAGGTTCACTTAATGTTAATAATGTTTTTCGCACAAAAAAACAAATATATATGTGGAAAACAATTATTTTCAACCCTCATTCTGACCCTGTGCCTGAAATGATCAATTGTCAATAAATGGCCACTGTTTTGATTGGCTAGCATCATCCACACAGTGGATTAGTTTTGTTTTTGATGGTAACACACCACCAAATACACAAAAAACAGAAGCAAGAGGTGGAGTGAGCATTAGCTCATTATCATTTAAATAGACATGCACCAAAACAGCTGTTTTGAACAGAGCTGTTTTTAGACAAGGTAAAAAAGGGTGTTGTTTTACATGACCACTGAGGAATTTTAAGTTATAGCCTAGACATTTCATGAAGACCCTAAAGAATCATACCAACTTGTAGAAAATGGGCATCCGATGTCCCCTTTAAAATAAACCATTCATCCACACAGTGGATTAGTTTTGTTTTTGATGGTAACACACCACCAAATACACAAAAAACAGAAGCAAGGGGTGGAGTGAGCATTAGCTCATTATCATTTAAATAGACATGCACCAAAACAGAGCTGTTTTGAACAGAGCTGTTTTTAGACAAGGTAAAAAAGGGTGTTGTTTTACATGACCACTGAGGAATTTTAAGTTATAGCCTAGACATTTCATGAAGACCCTAAAGAATCATACCAACTTGTAGAAAATGGGCATCCGATGTCCCCTTTAAAATAAACCATCCACTAGTTCAGTGGTTCTCAATTCCAGTCCTCGTTCCCCCTCGCTCTGCATATTTTGCATGTCTTTCTTATATAACACACCTGATTCAGATCATCACCTCGTTAGAAGAGAGCTCCATGCATGAACTGTGTTCCGATTGACATGGTCCCTACACAGTGTTCATTGTATGGAAGCATATAGGTAGCGAAATTCTATTTAAAATGCAATATGCAAAATGGCAATGCAATATTCAAAATGGCAACGCAATATTCAAATTGGCAATGTATTTCTGTATTTAAATGTACATTTTCCATTACCCATAAGTGCGAAGTTTGGTGCAAAAGGAGAATTAAAATTAAATGATATAATTTACATTTGCCATTTCCAACAGTAGTCTTAATATGTAAATTGCATACAAATTTTAACGCTTTATAAGTTGCGAAATGAAAATGAAAACATATAACCCAAACTGATTTGATGTGTGTAACATGTCCAAGCAGAAATGGTAGTAAAATTATCATTTAAATGCTATTTGTCCTAAATGCATTTAGACTAACAGTTAGAACACTTAGGATGGCATTTTCATCATGACGCCGTGGGATATTTGTAGCAAAATTCAGTGCGGCTTTAAAAATGCATTCCGAGCTGACCACGCCCACCCTCCGTCAATCATTGCTTCAAATCGGGGATTGGCGGAAGCGTGTTACGTTTGGATCCCAATTATAATGCTGAAGGTGAGGTACAATTCATATTTTTTCATTAAATACCTTAAAGTAATTTGAAAACCTTCTGTGGGACATAATTTCACAAATGGCGTGAGTGAATCACCGCGCATGCGTTCTCTTTCTCTCTCAAAATGCGCCAATGGCTTCAAATCACCACACATCGCGTCTGTCTATAAGCAAGCTGCACGCTGCACAGTTGACACAGGAATTGTCACTTGCATAATCGAGGCAGGGTTGCATCATCACTAAAGTTTATAAATTGCATTTCTTTTTAAATTCTTGCCAGTTTAAACCATTAAGCAGTCGTGCACTCACCTGGAGACCATGCGCTCATGCACACACATAACGCCAGGTTGCAGTGCGTATGCGTTGCATATTTTTTCCGCGCTCATGTTAACGGATTAAAGCGTTCACCCTGCACACGTTTGCTCCGGCAGTGCGTTCCAGGAGCGGTGCGTCTGCAGTAGTGCAGAGATCGTTTCCGCACAGAGTCTATTTTTGCTGCGCTGCAAGTGCTGAATTAAAGTAACAGCGCATTGTTTGTGGTAAATATGAAAACGAAAATATAGTAATTACACCATAAATGCATATAATTAAAGTCTACTGTGTTTCACAGTCAACACATATGGCGGGTTGGCTAGTTTTAAAGGAAAAGAGCACTTTTAGATAAACAAGGCAATAATAGATGGCACTCGTGGAGGTAGGAAAACAAAGATCTTTATAAACCGCAGGATTGCTTGTAATAAAGATTTAAAAGCAAAAGGAAAGGCAGTAGAGCTGACTATTTCTGCCAATGGTAAGTTTTAATTTAGAATGTTTGTGATAACATAAGAAAAGTATTTTAAATGTTTTGCCACTTGCTTGAGCAACTTTTTTGTGCTGTGTGTAAGCTATTGTGCAACTATTGCACTAGTGTAAAAACAAAAATGCACTGCATGATCGAACATTTAGGTGAGATATAGGCCTGTCGCAATCAATATATCGACTTATCGCGCAATATGTGTACATGACCTCAATCATTTTTGGTGATGCAATATATCGACCATTATATTTACTTAAAAATTAATGTCACCGTGTTTTTTACATTCCACTTGCGCCTGTGTCTTTTGCAGCTTCTCGTACATAGCGTGGTATAGTCATGAGGTGCTAGTTCAAATTTTTTAAATGCTTCTACAAACAAAGTTTAATCTGCAGATATGGTCTTGTTTAGGGATCTGTGCCTTTGTGCATACGGACATCTGACTGCTGAGTAGGGATTGTGCTTTTCAGCAATAGTGTGCACCCTTAGTTTACAGAGAAAAGAAGGTCCTGGAAAAATCTGTAGATGGAAATGTTCTTCGTGCATATTTATTTTTTCTACTTGTTACTTTAAACTTTCTGTTAGAAAACGTTTATTTACTATTTATTCAGGTTTTTTAAGGTATCTAATATTTTGATACTTAATTTCTGAATAGTCTTAAAAATTCAAAGTTTGTTGTCATTTGGAAGTGTGTAGGCCTTCTTGCATTACTATGCTGTTGCATTATGATTATATATTCAGTGGCATAAAATGGTCTTTAAAATTACAATAATATCGCTTATCGCAATTATTTCTGGGGCAATATATCGCACAACAAAAAGTTGTTATCGTGACAGGCCTAGTGAGATAAATATACATTTTTGAAAAATGTCTAAAAAATGCTCCCCTCCACCCCTCAAATAAAAAAAATCCCCTCTCACGAGAGTCACCTATAAGAGGGAAATTCCCCCCATTTTCAAAAATGAAATTCAGGCCTTGAATAAATGTCTAAAATTCCTGATTGGAGTATTACTATAAATAATTCTACATGATAAAAATAAGGCTTTAAAAAGATCGGTATCGGTGATCGTATCGGCAGATACTGCTTTCTGTGATCGGCCTCAAAAATCCTGATCGGAGCACCCCTAGTTAGGCAGCTGGTATTTCATTGCATTGAATAAACAATTTAATGCAGTGCATTACAACTAAAATTATTTATTTTTGTCTTTATAAATTGGGTAAATTTAAAATACAGTGGTTAAATTTAAACCTTTTTTCTACTACTCTTTGTTTAAAAGTTCATAATTTTTTAACAATTATTGATACCGAATGATATGAAACATTATATCATGATACATTTTTTAGCTATATCGCCCAGCCCTAATGCTTTACTGAAATTACTTTTAAAAGAAATGCTTTGACTGTCAATGATACAAGCTGAGCTTGTAGTATTCATGAAGCACTTTGTTTTCTGATCATAAAATCATCTGATCTGTTCAAAAATTTAAAAGTATTTGTCTCTTTTTATATTTAGCACCAGCAACATCCTCAAGTCTCTGCTGGTACTGGTACAATAGACCATGTAACTGGACCACTAGTAAGTGTGCAGATTATTACTGGATATTCATATATTATATGACATTCAGCTGTTCATTTCCTTGTTATTAGTTACCATTTAGTTTAGTGATACATGGAATAGTTTATTAAAAAATATGGAAGAATTTCACTTTAATGCCTAGTCTAATCTGTAATGATTATAATGTTCATGAAGACCTTGTTTTCTATATCATATTTCATATATGACGTCAAATGTTCAAACCTATGTTTCTCTTTGTTGTACTCATTTATTGAAGCTCAACCCCCCTACAGGAGGAATGTGTATTACCAGACGCAGAGTAAGTCAAATTTGCACTGTGGCACTGATGCATAATGTTGGCTATAATGCTATGATGCATGATGTCTCTGATTTTTTTTTTTATATAAACATTACTAGGACCATATTGGTATAACAAACTTAAGTTTAATTTCCTTCTATATTAGTTATTAGTTTCATTCTTATAGTTAGTTCCATTTAGTTTAGGGATGATTTATTTTTCATAAATTACAGTAGTAGGTGTGCAGATTATTATATTCTACATATACATGCAAATATACACACACACACACACACACACACACACAACATTCAGCTGTTCAAAGCTACATGTTTCTCTTTGTTTTACTGATTTATTGAAGCTCAAACACCCTACAGGAGGAAAGTTTATTACCATACTAGGGCTGTCAAAATGGCTGAAAAACTAAATCCGAATTTTGTACTTAAAATATTATAAAAATTTGAATTATATGTGAGAGCGGTGGAACTAGCGGTTTCTCCAGTAACGGCTGTAAACAAATCAGATCCTCTCATAAACGCTTCTTTATCAGATAAAATGAAAATACCATGGAAGCTTTTCTGAAGACAGTCGGTTCTCTTCTGAGATACATTCATATAAAACACCCGCGCCGTGTTATGATTTTGAAGCGTGCAGTGCTCATGTTTATTCAACGAAGTCAAACGCCACAAATAAATCAATGTATGGGAAACTGGTAATGTATATCGAAATATCGGAAATGTGTTTAAAAATCATATCACCGTTATTGAAAAAAATTATATCGCGATACATATTGATATTGAATTATTGTCCAGCCCTAGTCTCGAAATATGTTTTTTTCAAAGTTAAACTTGCATTAATTTTACATGGCTTTCTAAACATGCGGGACGAGACGCGAGTGCAACAGTAATATATTTCCGTCTAGAAAATGTGTGAAATATGTGTGCTGTGTGAACGGCTTGGTTTTTGGTTTTGATGTAAACAAGATCTTCTCCGCATTGATGTTCTCTTTTTTTTGTTCGCTATATTTTTAATGAACAACGCAGCAACGTCGCATCTAGTGGCTTCAGCTGGATAGGCTAACAAAAAAAATCTCGTGCGCCACTGATAAGACTGCCTCTTTAACGCACACCTAAAATTTGAATGCAACGTTTTTGCATTCGAATGTGGATTTTTATTTTAAATTCGATGAATATTCAAAATTCTAAAAAATGTTTGACAGCCCTATACCATACGCAGAGTAAGTCAGCAGATTTGCACTTTTCCGCTTTTCAGTTTTTTTCAGAACTTTTCAGTTCCTCCCGGCTGCGCGCGCACACACACACACACACACACACACACACACACATCTCTTTTTTTTGTTCGCTATATTTTTAATGAACAACGCAGCAACGTCGCATCTAGTGGCTTCAGCTGGATAGGCTAACAAAAAAAATCTCGTGCGCCACTGATAAGACTGCCTCTTTAACGCACACCTAAAATTTGAATGCAACGTTTTTGCATTCGAATGTGGATTTTTATTTTAAATTCGATGAATATTCAAAATTCTAAAAAATGTTTGACAGCCCTATACCATACGCAGAGTAAGTCAGCAGATTTGCACTTTTCCGCTTTTCAGTTTTTTTCAGAACTTTTCAGTTCCTCCCGGCTGCGCGCGCACACACACACACACACACACACACACACACACACAGAGAGAGACACACGTGCACGCATACACAGAGGTGTGCACACTCCCACTCCCACTAGTATTTGTAAATATTAACCCGCAAAAAGACTATTTAAATATGAATTCTGCGTGTCTCCATATTTTAAATTCGATGAATATTCAAAATTCTAAAAAATGTTTGACAGCCCTATACCATACGCAGAGTAAGTCAGCAGATTTGCACTTTTCCGCTTTTCAGTTTTTTTCAGAACTTTTCAGTTCCTCCCGGCTGCGCGCGCACACACACACACACACACACACACACACACACAGAGAGAGACACACGTGCACGCATACACAGAGGTGTGCACACTCCCACTCCCACTAGTATTTGTAAATATTAACCCGCAAAAAGACTATTTAAATATGAATTCTGCGTGTCTCCATGTTTTGTTTACTACTCGTACTGACTTGCCGTGATATTAACGTCTGCCGTCTCACTAAATGAGGACATAAATACAGTGGGGAAAATATTTGTTTGATCCCCTGTTGATTTTGAAAGTTTTCCCACTTACAAAAAAATTAAGGGTCTGTAATTTTTATGGTAGGTTTATTTTAACGTAGAGACAGAATACCAACCAAGAAATCCAGAAAAAAAACATATATAAAGGTTAGAAATTGATTTGCACTTCAGTGAGTGAAATAAGTATTTGATCCCAAAGCAAAACATGACTTAGTACTTGGTGCAGAAACCCTTGTTGGCAAGCACAGAGGTAAGATGTTTTTTGTAGTTGGTCACCAGGTTTGCACACATCTCAGGAGGGATTTTGATCCACTCCTCTTTACAGATTCTCTCTAAATCCTTAAGGTTTCTTGGCTGTCGTTTGGCAACTCGAAGTTTCAGCTCCCTCCACAGATTTTCTATAGGATTGAGATCTGAAGACTAGCTAGGCCCCTCCATAAACTTAATGTGCTTCTTCTTGAGCCACTACTTTGTGGCCTTGGCAGCATGTTTTGGGTCATTGTAATCCTTGAAGACTTATCCATGGCCCATCTTCAGTGTTCTGGCTTAGGGAAGGAGGTTCTCATCCAAGATTTTACAGTACATGGACCCATCCATTTGCCCCTCAATGCAGTGAAGTTGTCCTGTACCCTTAGCAGAAAAACAGCCCCAAAGCATAATGTTTCCACCTCCGTGCTTGACTGTAGGGATGGTGTTCTTGGGGTCATAAGCCCTATTCGAACGGTAATTGTTTCTCAGGGGGACGTAAGTGATTTTCACCATTTACAGGGAGTAGTTGGTGATTTTAATGCTGTCCGAATCCAGGATGTCTGTGTTTTTCTCTCACCACTAGTGGTCGACTGATATTGTTTTTTTGACAGCCGATGCCGATATCTTGGATATAATTGTATTTATTTTAATTAAAATTTAAGAAATTTGAAATCATTTGAAAATGGATTAAAAAATTATTTAGTAAAATAAACAATTATACTTTAGATGACAAAGTATTTTCCACAAATAAATAAATATTTTTTTATAATTTTATAATTAAAAAGGAAGTAAACTGTAACCAACAGAGCACTCAGTATTCTGGGAAGTTTGTGTGCATTGGAAATCATATTTTTTTAAATAAAGCCAAGGTAACACTCATAACACACATCATACATACAGCATACAGTGAAAATGACATGAATATGTTATGTGAACATGAATATAAAAGTCTGGCGCGCCGTCAAAATAAAAGTCCCGCCTCGAACACATCGGCCAAACAGAAAAACTTATCAGCCAATGCCGATATTTGAAAAATGCCAAATATCGGCTGATATATCGGCCTTGGCGATATATCGGTCGACCACTACTCACCACCCCCGTAAAAATACATGGTGGTAATATGGTGACAAACACCAAGGTCGTGTGGTAATTTAATTGCCGTCCTAATCCACATCTCTGAGTTTACGAGAAGAAATTGATTAAAATTCAGTGTTTTACCCTTTTTGAGCACTCCCAAACACCGTAAGGTAACGTTGTAGCCTACTTCAGTGTACCGTATTGGCCCGAATATAAGATGACCCTGATTATAAGACGACCCCCCTTTTTCCAGATGTACCTTTTGGAAAAAGGCTTTTTAAAAAACAAATCTTGTTTTTTCTCAGTAAAACACATTTTGTTTTCAATTATTTTCATATTACATATTTTTCCTATTTTAATTTTTGTTTTGAAAGTATGGTAAAAACTGGTCAAATGTACCAACAATCACATTTAAAAAATATACACTTTTTGATATACCATTAAAAAAAAAAAAACAGGTAGCCCATCTGAATTAGGACATTTAGGCTATCCATCTAATAGTAGCCCACCAAAATCTTATTAACAGTAGAAGTTAAATCTTACTGTAGTCTTCAAATCTGGGTACTGTCTTACGTTTTAAAATCACAAAGGGAGTTTAGTCCCATCAGGCTAACGTGACAGTCACGACTCATGCAGCTGTAAGCTTTTCTTATTCTTTTGTTTTTACTCGCGATCTTTACAACACGCATTACATTACATATTTCATGGCACACTTGTTTTATGCGTATTTGGCGCCACCTATTGTTGTGGGTGTATTATTGACATGTCAAAGTCTTGACCCTGAATATAAGACGACCACGCTTTTTCAGATGTATTTCCAAGAAAAAAAACATTGTCTTATATTCGGGTCAATACGGTAATTTGCATACATATTTAGCCTATTTCTGAAATGCTGGAAAGTATTTAAAATAACAATGTTTCATAACTGCTCCACCACCGCGACTGGGAGCAGAAAGAGAAGAAAAGCACTAAACATTCAAAATGGGTCTTTATTATGGCCGCAGCAGATATGCAATACAATTTAAAAATGTGTATTATAAACAGATATATATCGCGTATAATTATATACAACTATAGCGCGTCTATTTTCCTATTTTTAAACAGGAGATTTAAATAATCAAATAATAAATAGGATTATATATTATAAAATATGGTTGGAATAATAAGAATACATTTGACATCAGTATTTTAAATAAATTTTACACAATAATAAGAAATAAATATAAGATTTACAAATAAGAATTTTATTTGTAAATAAAATTCATTTTATTTACAGCAGACAATCATGTGACTGGCCACGAGAGCAGCGCGTTCCCAGGTTTGTAGGATCACAGAACTCGTTCCTCCACTGTGAATAAATCGTCATCCGAATCCGTGAGTTTTATCACCGAGGTGATATGTAAATTTATTTTTACAGACGTCCATATGAGAAACAACTACCGTCCGAATCGGGCTATAGTCGGCATTTCTCTCCCTACAAACACGGCGAGTCCAGTTAATGCAAAGAGCTCAATTTTGGTCTCATCT